AAGGGATTTGCTTTGAGAAAGAGTTTCAGATAAGTGTTATTTGTTATTATTATTGAATGAACTTCTTTTTATATATGAAATTTGTGTTTTGTTGTATCTTTCTCATTAAGTCTGAGTAGTTTCCTTTATCTTTCTCCCTACTCTGAGATCTGGTGAAATGAAAAGATATTTTCCATAGTTTTAAATGATAATAATTTGTGATAATTTCAACTCCGCTCTTAATTTACTTTTTGATCCAGCTAATTGAACTCCTCAATTCAATTTTAGTGTTTAAAAACTAAAGCGAGAGTTAGCCTTCAGGGGAAGGGAAGTGGGAGCTCTGGAGTGGGAGCCAGTATTCTGCTAGCCTAGCCATAGATTTAGGGACTAAACCTAAGATTAGCTAATGATTTTTTATAACACTGAATTAGGGTAGAGAATTAAAATTGTTCCTATTTGGCACAATACTAATTTAAACCATTTATCTCATCTCATTTCATCGAAAAGCTCATTGTAGTGGGAAAGATGTTTTTTCATATAAGAAAATTTCATCACATAAACATAGTTTAGTAATTGCTATATTAAAACTTTACAATCAAATTCTGCTAGAAGTTAATAATTTAGCTTTTATAGTATCTTAAACATTCGAAATTAGTAACAGCAATTTTGTTTTTGATTCTTTGAATTTCTTAGTTAATTTATCATTTCAACTTTAAACATTTCTCGTGGGATCAATATTTGGGACTTAAATAGAAAGTCTTATATTACTCGATAATGATATGTATACTTGTGTAGAATCTCAACATTAAGTGTTTAACTCTATTATTCATAAAATATCACATCAAGTTTTTAGCACCATTGTAAAGCGGAGTCAACTTATAAATTTTACACAACTATATTTTCTCAGGATAAACTACTGAGGCTATTATTGGTGTAGTCATGGAGTTCTATGCCGACTTTAGGAAGACTTCTGATAACCACGTCTATATTCGTGGTAAAATGATTGAATTCACCCCTAGGAGAATTGATGAATTTTATCAGTTGCAGGATGTATAAAGCTATCATTACAAAGCATTCTCTGCTACAAATGAGGCCCTCAAGGAAGTTATGTCATTTCTTACTGATGTGAAAGGAGCTTGGAAGGTGAAGAATAACGTTAAGGTAAAATTCTCTGCTTCTATGTTAAATGTAGTCTCCAAGGTCTGGCATTACTTTATATCGGCCAGAATAATACCTACGTACCACCATAGTGAAATTACTAAGGATAGAGCCATGCTAAACTTTTGTATTTAGTAGATGAGCAGGATATATGTAGGCTCTATTATTTATAGAAAGACTCGTTATATTGCTTTCTATTGCTTTGGGTGAGACGACTGCTGGATTAGCACACCCTGCCCTGATCTTCACACTATGTAAGCAGGCTTGAGTTGATTTTAGAATTGATGAGGAAAGGATTGAGCATCTTAAACTGATTGGGCCTGCAAACATTAAAACCTATTAATCTCATATTGGATGGAGATCGGATGGAGTTCGGGAAGTGGGAGTAGGGATATTCCTTCTACTTCTAACACTCCTACTCTCTAGGGAGTTATGGAACAAATGATGATCCAACAGAGAGATATTTTAAGAATGGAGAGCAGGATTGAAAATTTGGAGGCCAAAAATGCACATAATGATGATTTAACAAGACAGAAGTTTGAGTATGATGTTGCATATGATGATGCTATGGTTAGATACATGAAGGGTGACCACTCAGTACAGTTTCCCAGTCACCCTATCTTTACCCCTTATCAGCAGCAAAACTTTGATGTAGAAGAAGAAGATGATGATGATGATGAGTGGCGATGTCTTCTTAGTCATACTCTTGATCTTTTATTTAGTTTATTGTTTGTTGCATTTTGTTGTTGTTATTATTTAATTGTTAAGTGTGAAACTTTGATTTGTATTTAAATGTGGTGTTGTGAACTATAAACTATAAAAATGTTTTAAAGTTGAAATTTATTTTAATATTGTTATTTGTTTTTAGTACTTTGTTGTATTTAAATTTTTAGTTAACTCTTTCTCAGCAAAAATTTTTATAAATTATATGTTATTTAATGTTTCAAATTTTGTAGTATTTCATATTAGCATCAGCAATATTTCAGAGTTAAGTTTCAAAATCAGAATCTTCAACATGTATGTCTTTTCTTTATGTATTAACTATTTTCTTTCACCTTGAAATTTCAGTTTTTCATGTTTAATCTTTTAAAAATTTAAGTTTGGCGAGGGGAAAGAAAAATTCATTTTTAAGGAGAAGCTTAGGGAGATGTCTAATCAAAAATTGATTTCACTTAAATCAACTTAAGGAAAAAGGCTTGGCTACATTATCTAAACTTGCATTTAAGTATTAGCATATTTACTAAGAAGTTTTCATGAAGTGCTTTTTCATATGGATATTCTAAGTGGCTTTAATATGACGATTTGCAATTTTTCTTGGAAAAATAGAGAATCAGAAATATTAGACTTGATTGCTGGATATTCTTATACCTTTAGTTTTAACTGGAGTTATTTTAAATTTTTCTTAAGTTTTGCTATTATAATTAGTAGACCAAAATATGGAAATCTAGAAGTTAAAAGTCTTTGTCATAAGTCATATTTTTTGTAGTAATGGAGTTACTTGAGGACAAGTAATATTTAAGTTTGAGGGATTTTGATGCACCAAAAATGTATGCATTTTAATATCTATATTTTATACTCATTTTTTGTGATATTGCGCTTTAAAGGAAGGTATTTTTTATGTTGAAGGCTGATAATTTTTATAACTTAAAGCAAAAAGTATGAAATTTAGAGTCAAAATGGCGTTTTGTAAAAAATACTCAGCGCCAACGGCACCATTTCACAGAGAGCACGGGATTAAATTCGGGTCACGGGAGCTAACGGCGCCATCGTGGGCATCGACGGTGCCAAGGTCGGTGCTGATCAAAATTCTAGAAGATTCGATGAATTTTGACGCTTTTTGAAGAGTTATTAGAGGCGTCTCTTAGAAAACCAACATTATGCTTTATTTAGAGTGAAAATTGCTAAGAAAAAGTGGTAGTTATAGGGGGTTAGAGGGTAAGTGAGTTTACTTGAGTGTTCTATTGTGTAGTGTGGTGAGTCTAAGTGTGATTTTCTCCTAAGAGTTGTTAAGAGAGGGAGAGAAGTGAAAGATTTCTTCTTCCATACATCTTTAAAGAGAAAATCAAGAGTTTTGAAAGAGAGAAAGAGTTCAAGAGAGGCTACAAGGAATTTGCTTTCAGAAAGAGTTACAAATAAGTGGTGTTTGTTTTTTATTATTGTATAAAATTTCTTTTATTTATGTAATTCGTATTTTTCTGCATCTTTCTCATGAGGTCTAAGTAGTTTTCTTTGTCTTTCTCCCTACTCTAAGATATGGTGAAATGAAGAAATAATTTAGATGTGCCAAATTTAAAATATAAAATAAATTGTGATGATTTTTCCACTCTATTTTTAATTTACTTTTCAATCTGGTCAATTGAAATGTTAAAATCTGTTCTAAAACATATGATCCGGGAAATGGAGCATGAGTTCTACAGCAAAGTGAGAATTACATTTAATTCTATGAAAGAGCATTTCATTCATGGAATTGTGTGCAAATAAATAAGAAAATATATAATGGTGACAGACTAAAATCCCCAATTTGGTTTTAGTGTTTAAGAACTAAAGCGAGAGTTAGCCTTCAGGGGAAGGGAAGTGGGAGCTCTGGAGTGAGAGCTAGTATCCTCCTAGCCTAACCACGGATTTAGAGACTAAACCTAAAATTAGCCAACGATTCTCTATAACACTTGACTAAGGGTAGAGAATTAAAATTTTTCCTATTTGACACAATACAAATTCAAACCATTTATCTCTCATTTAACCAAAAACTCATTGTAGTGCGAAAGATATTTTCTCGTATTTGATAACTTCATCACAGAAATATAGTTTGGTAGTTATAGTTTAATATAGTTTAAATGGTAGTTATAGTTTAAATTTACTTTACAGTCTTGCTAGTAGTTGATAATTTAGTTCTGATAGCACATTAAACATTTGAAATTAGTATAGTAGACTTTCTTTATTATTGTGAAATTCCTAATTTAAATTACCATCTCGAATTTAAACCTTCCCCGTGGGATCGATATTTGGGATTTAAACAGAAAATCTTGTATTATTTCATAACGATACGTATACTTGCGCAAAATCCCAACATAAATTGCTTGAATTTTTTATTAATAAATAATAAACCAAGTTTTTGGCATCGTTGCAAAGCGGAGTCATCTTCATTAATTTTACACAACTATAATTTTCAATATCATAGACCCCACAAGTTGAGTCAGTCGCCATCCTTTTGGTGACCAAAGAGGCTAGACGGTCTTGTGGTCAAGCGGTCATTTGCTGAGGAGTCTCTTCTACAGTAGATCTACTGAGTGTACGCACCAGCCGTCCTAGGGCCGAGGGATAGGTAGGGGAGAAGATTGGCTTGAACACGCGCTCTGAGTTCTCCAGATTCTCCAAGGGGAGTCCCCTTTTGTCTGGGAGAGGTGCTTGGCTTCAATGATTGAGAGAATACGACTGGTTTAACCTCCAACTTCAGGCCATCCATGGTTGGTCGCATGAGCGTATTCATTTCCTTCACTGTTCGTGAGGTGAAATCGTGATTCTTGTTGGCATATTTCCAATGTAAAAAAATCAACTAATTTTTACTTTTCTGTAAGCTCAAGATATCAGAATCTTTAATTTCAGATTGTGATATAATTATTACCTGACAAAAAAGTAATAGCAACAAAACTCAATCCAAAATCATTCCAATTTTTTGGCTTATGAAATCCAAAATTGACTGGAGCATCTATGGCTCTATCAGAATAAAAACCTCAGCTCCCTAAAAGCTCTAACAGTTCTTCTAACACACCTCTACCTCTTATATATCCAGTCGATTACCTCAGTTTCTCTAATGCCAGAAAAGGGCAGAAAAATAATGAAATCAGTAGTAGAACAAGGGATGGTGATATAATATAAGCTATGCGGCATTAATTGGTAACACAGTAGCATGTTATTACTCCATAGATGAGGGCTAAAGCTCAATTTAGTAGGCAGGCAAACAGCTCTAAGTGTCGGAGCATATTCATTAGCAGCATACAAGCACGCAATTATTAACAGTAAAAGCACAGTCGTTAAATATGAAGATACACCCATATCACTCGCGCATAAACATCTTATTCTACAGCTGAGACATTATTCAGCCCTCTAGTACTGTATTAGTGCTTGAAATCTTGATCTTTGATTACTGTGACGGGGCAGACTGCATTGGAGACTACAAAGTTTGTTACACTGCCAAGTAAAATCCTGCGGGAAATAAGAAGAACCGAAAGTAAAAAGGTATTAGCAGCACGCCATGCTCAAAAGTTCACATTTCTGTACAATATTAAATACATTTTGGAAATTCAAAGAGGGCCAAAAAACTTCAATAGTATTAATTTAGGGGCTGGTTAGATGTCTTAGTACTGTACTCTAAATAAAATACCTCAATTTTAAGAATATTGATGTTTGGTATGCAGTAAATAAATTCATTATGAAATTATAGTGTACTTACAATTTACCGTCTCAATGATTTCGCATGTAAATTAAGTCCGCTCAAATCGGCCGAAAACAAAGTACACAGGTACCTCCTTGAGGCCCCCGGAAGATCTCTCACGACCACAGCTCATGGACAAGGAACATCTCTGGCTTTCATTTCGTTGTGTATATATTTTAAAATCTACCAATTCCATTTTAATGCATGTTAATATTTGTCTTTCTTCAAGAGTTATACAGCTGCTCCTAGTTATTCCAAACTAAATCAGGAGGCCGTAGGTGCTTCTTTACTCTTTAGTGATAGGAAATTTGAAAGGGCCTGATATTTTTTTAAGATTGCATTATTGTTAGAAATAGGCTGTTGGAACTTGAATTCCTTCATGAAGTTATTTGGTTAGCTAGCTAATCATTTTTTTATGGTTTTAATTTAAACTTTTAGCGTCTCTTTATTCTCGTATTAGACTAGCTGAAGATTTAAAAGGGGATACAAAGGGCTTGTCTTCATGAACCTGGGACATGATAACAAATCAGAGCTTATATTCACTTTTCTGTATGAATGTATAAGCAGGTAGCCAGTTGGAAAACAATCTTTACTCGATGCAAACCCAAAATGCAGTTTTTTTTCCTATGAAACATTAATTTAAATCTATTTAATGTGGCTCTGTGGTAACGGCTCTGGCTGCTTTAGTAAATCATTTAAATTTAGATTTACTAAATCCTGGCAATAACAGGTTTAGAGTTTATTTGGGGCAACTGCAGCATATTAAAAAGATGCTACCAAGCATCAGTGCCAGGAAGTTTTTACGAAGAAGCTGTGTTTGATTGTTTTGTACAGATGTAAAATAGCTCTGCTGCACCTATTTATGAAAATATGGCATTACTGCCCCTGTACAGTTGTATTGTTTATAACAGAATCAATCCTCATTACACATTTCATACACGAAAAAAGATATTTGGTTTGAATATTACATAATAAAAACTGGCACATCACGAAACAGTAATACAAAAGTTAAAATTAAAAATAAAACTAAACATAATGTTGAATTTAAAATGTAGACGATTAATTTCACAAGATAATATCTCCTCCAATGAAATTCTCCACGCTTGATCACTATCGACAATGGAATCATCAAACCAATCCACCCACCTGAAAAAGTCACAATTATCTGATCTATTCCTTAAACATCTATAAAATTGTCTCTCATAGCTATGCTCTTATTTTTGGGAGATTTGGGAGTTTCTTGGCTTACTAAACTCTTTAATATTATTTTAAAAGCTAAAAAGATGCCTAAGGAGTGGAGGAAGAGTATTTTGATCCCATTTTTAAGAATAAAGGGGATGCACAAGAGTGTGCAAATTATAGAGGAATTAAGTTGATGTGTCATACTTTAAAATTATGGGAGAGGGTAATTGAACATAGGTTAAGATGCATCACGAAAATTTCTCATAATCAATTTGGATTTATGCCTGGCAGGTCTACTATGGAAGCTATACATTTATTGAGAGGTTTGATGGAGAAGTTCAGAGATAATAAGGAGAATCTACATTTGATTTTTATTGATTTAGAAAAAGCTTACGATAAGGTTCCAAGAGATATCCTTTGGAGAGTTCTCGAGAAGAAATGTGTTGATATGACTTATATTCAAGTCATTAAAGATATGTATACTAGAGCTGTTACTTGTGTTCAAACTGAAGGAGGATTGACAAAATATTTTCCTATTTCTGTTGGTTTACATCAGGGATCGACTTTAAGCCCATATCTTTTTGCTTTAGTTATGGATGGTCTTACTGGACATCTACAAGAGGATGTACCTTGGTGTATGCTTTTTGCTGATGATATTCTTCTCGTGGATAAAACGAGAGAAAAAGCCCAGGAAAAACTTGAATTATGGAGGTCTACATTGGAGTCTAAAGGCCTTCGTTTAAGTAGAACTAAAACTGAATACATGGAATGTAATTTTAGTAGTAATAGCTCTAGTGACAGAAGTGTGACTTTGGGTGATCAAATTATTAAAAGGTGTGAACGATTTAGATATCTTGGGTCCGTTGTCCAAAGCGATGGTGATATAGATGGGGATGTTAATAGTAGAATTCAAGTTGGTTGGTTGAAGTGGAGGAATGCTTCGGGCCTTTTGTGTGATAGAAAAGTACCGCTAAGGCTGAAAGGAAAATTTTATAAGATGGTGGTGAGACCTGCAATGCTCTATGGCGCTGAAGGTTGGCCTTTAAAAGCGAAGCATAATAATAAGTTAAGTGTTGCCGGGATGAGAATGATTAGGTGGATGAGTGGCTTTACACTTAGAGACAAAATGCGGAATGAATATATTCGTGATAGGGTTGGTGTAGCTCCTGTGACAGACAAAATTAGAGAAAGTCGTCTTAGATGGTTTGGTCATATTAAACGTCGACCATTAGATGATCCGATTAGGAGAGTAGATGTTTTAAATTCGACTTGTGTTAAGAAAGGCAGAGGTAGACCTAGGAAGACTTGGGCTTTGTATTAAAAATGATCTTAATTTACTAGAACTAAATGAAAATATGACACTAAATAGGACGCAATGGAGAAAAGGATTCATCTAGCCGACACCACGTAGTGGGATTAAGGCTTTGTTGTTGTTGTTGTATAGCTATGCTCTTATTGCAAAGTAAGCAAAGAACACTGCAAAACACAATAACAGTACAATACTCTTGAGACGCCGTAAGTCCTCGAGCTTATCTTTTCGGAAAGTTTAAAAACACAAGCATAGATCCTTAGATTTAATATTAGTAAAAAAGAATATTAGAAATACTTAATTAAAGTTTTACAAAGATGTGAGATCTCAGAGCACAAAATATAAACCAATGAATACTCTGTCACTACAAAAAGACAATAAGCCTTTAAAAAAAAGGGTTCTTGGTTGTCTTTAAACAATGTAATACCATGCTCGTATGCGTCACACAAACATATCACCACAAAGGTCATCCAAAAAAACACCAACAGTCATATGACCGAAGAAAAATGGAATTTTGGTTGCCTTTAAACCACATAAAACCGTGCTCGGATGCCTCACCTCAAAGGCAATCCAGAATAACTCTAACAATCAAACGACTGAAAAAGGAGGAGTATTTGGTTTCCTTGATAGCGATTTCAAACGTGCCCAAACCCATAGCAACATATAGGTCATCCAGAATAACACCTAAGGTCGAATATCTCATCACAGACCTTCAAACCAAAAATAAAACATGCAATGAATGAACACATGAAATATTAAATCCACAGTTGCCTTGGATGTCATCCATGTGGGAAAAAAATATATGCAAAAAAACTGAAAATAAATGTTGCACCAAATTAAGATTCAACATGAACACCATTGCACAAAACGTCAATATAATAAACATTAAGCGATTTTACAACACATTGCATATAAATAAATAAATAATATATATACAACATCCATTCATCTGCTAACTATGACCTCTGTAATTTGCTCTCTCAACTCTATCTCCCCAGGACCTTCCCCATCATGCGTACAAGACTCAGGTAAATTAATTTCAGCCAGTGATATCGATTGCACTAGGTGATATTCATATGTTTCACCAGGGAGATATGAATGATCATCATCCGACATGTTCAAGTTAATGTCACTATACAAGGTATGCCGCCGAAATTGTGAAGAGCAACTTTGTCAACCATAATCTGCATTTGTTTGTTGAATGGATATGTAGGCATATGTCGTAGAATAAATTATTTTATCTTCCAAACTCTAAATATTATTTCAATAACACCATGTAAGAATGGGTGTCTCATGTTAAACATCTTATTTCTAACTTGAGCAACATTGATAACTCTTTCAAGATAAGGAATGTGAAATTTGGTATCAAGAAAGGGTTTGAGAAATACTCTTTATAAAGGATGTCTAGCATCGACCAAATAATATTTCCCTGATATAATTACAATCATTAGTATTGCACTGAAAGTACCATTTCATTTATTTATATTCAAGCAAACCTTGGGTTGGCTTTGGAAAGTTATATTTATAAATTTGTGTGGCAAATTTGAATGTGATTGTTGTGTGCACTATTTTCCCATCCAGCCAAAATAAGAGTGAAGCACGAGTTAAAGTCACATACAGTCATTTGATTTTATGGGTGAACCACATCACCCAATGTATGCGATCTTTTTACTGTTTGACACGCGTGCATCCACATGTGTTCTATAAATCACTCCAATACTGTGTTCAAGTAAATTTAGGAAAATATGAACACGTGCATTTACCTTAAAATATAGCATATAACATTGGTCTTATGAAATCTCTGCGGGGTTCCTTTGAACTGTGGCGTCTTCAGGTTTGATGATAAGCTAATCATAGTATTCAACTCAATCGAAAAAATATCTACTTATTATTTATGTTGAGTGCTAGAATCGCTTCACGACTCCTCTCGTAGATTCATTCGACGATAAAATGTAGAGGATTATGGCTAAAACCTCTTAAGAAGTCTTCCTATAGAAGTCATGAAGTTCATGATTCCTGTGCAGTTCTTCTAACAGATTAATGAATATGGTCGTATCATATAGAAAATATTGTTAAATCTTGTCGGGTGACCCGCCAACAACTCCCTATCCCACTTATCATCTATGTATGTAGATTTCATGCAAGGAGAGCGGGCAATATATGAATTGTAATACTCATACATTAAACATAATGCAGCTACAATTCCTCTTCTATGTCTTTCTCTATCTATGTTATTCATTGTTTATATAGCTACCACATAATTAAAATCAAATTAGATAG